TTTGAATTCCACCAGGTAATAAATTGTTCCTGGCTTTATACATAAACACAGCAGTCTTATATCCCACTAAATCAAAAAATTTTAACAATTTAGACTGTATGAAAGCTACATTGGTGTGATCCCTGTACCCCATCTTATGCACAATTCTTATCGCTCTTTTTTGTAATATGTACAATGGTTGAAGTGAGCTTTTGTATGTATTTCCCCAGTTTTCAACGCCATACTCCAAGTATGGTAAAATCAATGAAGAATACAAAATACGTAGTGCTTTTATGTCCAAAATATGTCTGACCCTCGCCAATATCGATATGTTTTTTGCTTTTTTATGCTGAATATATCTGATATGAGATTTCCAGGTGAATTTGTCATGTTCACGGTATTGAAGGAGCATGTCACCTGGTGCAACACTGTGGGGGGCTAAATGATGTGCTTCTAAAAGTAGTTTGAACAACAGTGGCGCTTTATAGCACCGAGGAATAAACTACAGTATATCAGGCTTTGGTTTAGATTTTTTCATGGGATTTGTTGTCAATGAGAAAACTATCAACTTTATGCATTCACTCTCTCTCCAGCCAGTGTTTGAGACTAGAGTATGTGTGCACATTTTTTATATGATCCAGAAAAGGGAACTATGAAGACTGATAATCCTTCATTAGCATCAGTTGTCTGTCTTCAGGCCTGTCCATCAGGTACTTCTTAAACATGTCATTAGCTAACAGCAGGGCTTAAAGAAGCACTATAACTAAATGGTGACTTAACTTTACATTGGTGAAAGTGAAAAGTGAAAGGACTGGTTGTCCTCACTTACTTTTTTGACCTTTTCCTTCTGCTTTGGAAGAAAAATGCTCCACCTGATGGAGTTTCCATACACATTGCCTCCATTTTGGTTGTTACTGATTGTATTTGTTTGTTTTTTAAATAACAGATTTGTCTCTCCTTCTGATTAAGCTAGGTGCATTCTGTCATCTCACAGCTGCCAGATATACATTGAATAAGGGGAGGCAAAGAATGAAATAGAATGACTAAAATCAAAAGAAGTTCACACAAGCTGGCACAGGATAGGAAATACTGCCAGTGATCTGGAAGGCAATTTTTTCATCAGCACGGAAAGAGATTAGTATGGCTCAGTTTGTTTCTGTTACCTTCTGATATCCACGTTTTTAAAAAAGCACAGAAATGTACACAAACAAATACCTGAGGAGCTGAAACTGTGGCAGCCAGAGGATGGGACAGGAAGAGAAGAACAGATAGATAGTGGCCTGCAGGAAAGGAAAAGGGAAAGGGAAAGGGAGGTGAGGAGTAGGAGGAAAAGGAAGCTGAAGAGGTGGAGAGGTGAAGGAGAGGAGAGGAGGGATTACCGGTGTCCCTGCAGCCATGGCAGACAGTAGCTTTTGTCTCCATCTGTCCTTCCCTGTCACTGTCCCGCCCTCCTGCCTCTCTGGCTACAAGGGACAGAAGGACAGGTTACAAGCAAACATAAACATTTAAACAAACACAAAGTAACCACATTCATGCATACATATAAAAAACATGTGCACAACTATGCTATTTTCTTCCCCTGCCCTTATCCCCTTATTACAGCCCCAAATCAGAAGAAGTGGGGACGGTATGTAAAGTTAAAATTAAAAGCGAAAATACTGATTTGTACTCATCTGTATCACATCAAAAACAATACAGAAGGACATTATTTAATATGATACATCATCAAGTTTATTGTTTGTTAAAATAACCACTCACTTCCATTCTGATGCCTGCAACACATTCCAAAAAAAGTTGGAATGGTTGATTTCAGGGTTAGTAATGTGGTAAAACAATGAAATGATGATTCCATTTGAAACAGGTGATATCAAAAGTTGATTCCAATCATGATTTTTGGTACAAAAGTGGCATGCAGGAAAGGCTTAGCCCGTTAGGACCAAAGATGGGCCAAGGATCACCAGTTTGCCAATATATGAGTGAGAAAATTATTGAAATGTTTAAAAACAATGTTTCTCAAAAAGGATAGGGATTTGGATATGTCACCCTCTATGGTGCATAACATAATTAAAAGATTCAAGGAATCTGGAGGGATTTCTGTGCGTAAAGAGTAAGGACCTAAGCTGTACTGTGGTCAGACAAATAAGTATTTCAGGCCTGTTTTGGAAGGAATGGACGCTGTGTGCTCCAGACCAAAGACAAAAAGGAACATCCAGACTGTCACCAGCAATAAGTCCAAAAGACATGGTCTGTCATGTTACTGGGTTCTGTCAGTGCCCTTGGCAAAGGAAACTTACAATTATGTAATGGCACCTTAATGCTGAAAAATACATGAAGATTTTGGAGCAACATGCTGCCTTCAAGACGACATCTTTTCCAGGGACGCCAATGTAAGACAATGCAAAATCCATACTGCACACATTACCAAGGCCTGGCTGTGGAGGAAAAGGGTGTGAGTGCTGGACTGGCCTGCCTGCAGTCCTGACCTGTCCCTAATAAGAGAATGTGTGGTGCATTTTGAAACAACAAAAACCCAGGTCTGTTGTGCACCTTAAGACCTTTTTGCAGGAAGAATAGTGTCCTCAGTCCCTAAATGTCTAAGTGTTGTGAAAAGGAATGGCAACATCACACGGTGGTACATGCTTTACTGTTCCAACTTTTTTGGGAATGTGTTCCAGTTATCAAAATTAAAGAGTGTTTGTCTTAAAGAATAAAATTGATTAAGTATCAAATCATATAATGTGCTGCTGTATTGTTTTCAATGTAATACAGGGCACAGATGATTTACAAATAATTATTTTCAGTTTTAATTTTGATTTTACATACTGTGCCAATTTTTTCTGATTAGGGGTTGTATGAATACAGTTGTATTACTGTATTCAATAAAGTATGACTACATTCTCAGCTACAAATTATAATCTAACCGATGTACCTATCATAATATTTGTCACTACATTGCAGCAATGCGCTTAATCTAATAGAAGATTAAATGTAAAAAGCCACTGTATGTGTGTTTGAAATCCAAACTCTGCATGTATTCTACCACCACAGTCCACTCTGATTTCTATAATAATATCATTGACATCTTCTAATGTATTAATATTGAAATATATGTATCTGATGTACGACCGTCCAAACCGTTTACCTGAGAAGTTGTACATTCCAGAATTGTAAACAGATAACAGAGACAAATGTGCATCAATTCAGAAGAATTGTCAGTGGGCATGGTATAATTGTATATAACCATCTCAATTCCAGATGGCATCTGTTCACACAATCCCTACAACAACAACAACAACAACACACCTGTAGGATCCTTCAAGTATTATGTTTATCAGGTCTGACATGCTATAGAAGTGATCTTATGTGATTTGCCATTGGCTGCCATACCAAAGTGTATGCGGGCCAACAGGGCTCAATTTAGTTGACCCAATTGTTGGGTCCACAAGACCAGAAATATCTTAAAAAAAACGTTTATTCTGAGGGATTCAGAAGAAACAATTAATAAACTAACTTTGATTTCCCAGGCAATCTCTCCCTGCCCCCCTTCCAAACACACAAGATCCTCTTTGGCTTTGCAAGGGCCTGGCAGTTGAGCAATCTCCCCTTCTTATCAGATGTAGAGCCTAGACTCTGTCTCCAGAGACCAAAACTCACCCTCCACTTTGACTTGATTCACACCGGCAAACACACATCTTGGACTTCACACCCTGACCCCAAGAACACTAAAATTTGCGTGAACTCAAACAAACCCAAAACATTTGGTCTTCTTTTCTGATTCTTTCCCAGGAGAACTCAGAGACAAGAGCCGTCTACAGAAGCAGCCACTCGGAACTGTGCATGCCAGCTGAATGGCATAATGTTTCAAAAGGCGCTTCAAGTCTGGGTTTGAGCATGTAAGCATAACAAAATAGTAGTTATTACTGTGACAAACACGAATAGTGATTAAAATGTAGGCAGCCAGTGCCAACCAAGCACCTCAGCTCAGTCCAGTGGTCTGACTATATTCATCCACCAGCAGTTCTGGACATTAACAGAAGGATCAAATAATCAGTTAGCCTCTGCAGTAAACTACAACAAACACTGCTCCACCTGGAGGATATATACGTATAGTACAATGCTGCAGGTGGCTTGCACATACTGTGCTTAGGGGTGTTAACAAAGTGGCGCTTCGATTACTGCATCATCACGGAGGATACACATTAAGAGCAGGGGCAGTGCACAGGCCTGTCAAGGATTGGGCATGGTTCCACCATGGTCCAGTCAGCAATTTAAGATGGCTGCATCTGTAATTCCTTTATCTAACTTCTTTATCTACAACAGGACTCTTGCGAATGCAGAGAAACTCTCCTCTTTTCAACATAGCAATAAAAGTCTTAGTATCGTGTTCTCCCTTTCTGTCTTATGACAGTGAAAACAATCCTGAATTTGAGAATGTGAAACTATGATAGTCAACAGTTGTGTGTAATGTGTCACCATTTGGACACATTAATGGAGTCGGTGTGCCGACGGGAGGTCCCTGCTTAAGTGCTTCATCTTCAGTACACCGACATAAGCATCCCTGCCAAGCTCCCGACCACTCGGGGTTTCGCTGAGAACGCTCCTCAGGAGGTTCCTGTTCCAGCTCCACAGCCCAACTTCGCGTTGCAACCTCCATCAGATCCTCCACTGCAGCAGCTTCTGGCAGCTCCACCGCTGCCGCAGCCTCTGTCTCCTCCTGAGCTGGAGCAGCCCATGCCTGTTCCCAAACTGCTTCAGCCTTTGCCTGTGCCTCGGCCTGGCCATGACAACATCCCCACTGAGTTAAGGGTCCCCAGGTGTGCGGATGATAAAGTCCCTGCCGGGGCCCAGAGTCCTCAGCAAGCTGACGAGGAGATGCCAGCCAGGGTCTCTGCCCTTGTTCCTGATACCGAGTGGGTAGGCTGGCATGTTGACCATGTTCCTGGTCTCGAGCGGGTTGGCTGGCACTCCAACGCCGCCCGTGTTCCTGATTCCGAACGAGTCAGCTGGCACATTAACACTGCCCTTGTTCCTGTCCTTGTTCCACGGCAAGACAGCGACGACATCCCCGCTGAACTGGATGGTCCCCGGTGTGCCGACAAGAGTGTCCCTGCTGAAGCATTTAACTCTCAGTGCACTGTCAGAAGCATCCCCGCCGAGGTCCCCACTTCTCAGTGTGCCGACGAAGATGCTGCAAGCTCTTCCTCCAT